CTCTCCCCCCGCAGAGAGCCGGCCGCACCGGGACGTGCTGCACAGCGAGAACGTCCGGCTGGTGCCCGTGGCGGAGCTGCGCGGGCTGCGAGGTGCGTGCGGGCCGGGCAGCGGAGGGAACGGGGTGTGTGGCACCATAAAGAGCCCGCAGCGTGTGCGGGTCCAGCCCCGCCGCACGCACCGCTCCACACTCGTGTCTCCCTTTCTCTGTTAAACAGGAGCCGCTGGAATTAAACACCTGCCGCTACTGTGGTGCTGTTCCATTCACATGCTGTTCACATGAAATTATTTTCATTCTACCTCTTCCTCCCCCACCTTGTTTTACCCCTGTTGCCCAGAGAAGCTGTGGCCTTCCCATCCCTGGAAGTGTCCAAGGCCGGGTTGGACAGAAGTTGGAGCAAGCTGGAATAGTGGAAATTGTCCCTGCCCATAGCAGGAGGTGGAATGAGATGAGCCTGAAAGGCCTTTCCAACCCAAGTAGGACACAATGAGTGTAGGATTTCTTTCCGTACAAAATACAGAAAGAGAATTTGTAGGGATCGCGAGATGTTTACATAGCTTTATATTGATCATAGAATAAAATCACAAAGGTTGGAAAAGCCCTCTAAGAACATTGAGTTCAACCATTTCCCCAGCAATGCCAAGGCCACTAAGTAGACCCATGTCCCCAAGTGCCACATCCACTTTTAAATCCCTCCAGGGATGCCAATGCCTGACCACCCTTTCAGGGAAGAAATTTTCCCAATATTCAGCCAAAACCTCCCCTGGCACAACTTGAGGCTGCTCCTTGTCCTGTCCCTGTTCCCTGGGAGCAGAGCCCAACTCCCTCTGGCTGTCCCCTCCTGTCAGGGAGTTGTGCAGAGCCAGAAGGGCCCCCTGAGCCTCCTTTTCTCCAGGCTGAGCCCCTTTCCCAGCTCCCTCAGCTGCTCCTGCTGCTCCAGCCCCTTCCCAGCTCTGTTCCCTTCCCTGGACACGCTCCAGCCCCTCAGTGTCTGCCTTGGAATGACCCAGCCCATCCAGATCCCTCTGCAGAGCCTTCCTTCCCTCAAGCAGATTGACACTCTCACCCAACTTGGTGCCGTCTCCAAACTTGCTGCATTCAATCACTTACCCAGGTCATTGGTAAAGTTATTGAACAGGTGTCCATTTTCATGTTATTTTCACCCTGTCTCTGCAGAGCTGGCTGGTTCTGATGTTCACATTTCTGTGGGGAAAGCTCTAATATTCTTGTTTTTCTGTCACTTTGCAGTGGGTCCAAAGCTTTTCCAGTATGTCCTAAAGGTGCTCGTGCAGTCAGTGCAGTTACTGTACACGTTGCTGAGGATAGATCAGCCATCCTATATTCTTCTTCAGGTACGTTTTGTGTTGGGACTAATTTCAGTAAAAGTAAATAGTGCTGTATTACAGGGCATTTTTAGTCATCTCAGATATTGCTCTAATTATTTCAGAGCTGAACTGGCCTCATCAGTGGTGTAAACCTGTATCCAGGTATTTTTTGGCTCTAAACTTTGATTTGTCTGTTAACAAGTCATTTTCTTTTCCTGTTAGTTGTGCTTTCAAACTTCATTGCCATGGGTAGTAGTAAGGAATAAATATTAATTGAATTGTTGATGTCTTTATTGGAGGGGAATTTTGATCTTGATCTAGGGGTTAAATTAGAAGTATCTGCCAGTGTTCTTAAGTGAATACAAACAGTCTCTGTTCATGAAACTCCTTTAAGGTGATACAAATTTGATTTTTTGTTTCTGGTAGTTGCTTTGTGTTTGTCACTTGGCCACAGTCTTGTACTATTTTGGTTTTGTTTTTGAGCAGAATCCCCCAGGCTTGCCCAGTATAGCTGTTGCCTGGGTGGCAGGGCTGTGGTGGGGGAGCAAACTCATCATTGATTGGCACAACTATGGATACACCATCATGAGCCTGAGCCACGGGAGGAACCACCCACTGGTGCTGATTGCAAAATGGTTAGTACAGTCATTTCTGCTCTTTATAAATGGCATGCCTTGGTGGAATTCAGAATGGAGGCCAGTGGGGAGAATATAATTGGCACAGGGAGGGGTTTCTGGGCTTTGCTGTTTAAAACTGGTTTCTGTTCTGCAGCTGCTTTGTTGAACACGTGGGAGGGGAGTTGCAGGAAGTAGGCAGGTTGCTTTTATGTACATATGCAAATGTTGATCTTGTTACTGGAATTTCTTTATATGCCCTGGGTTTTTTATTCTCTAATGCTGTTTTACACTCCAGCTCTTCTTTGAACAGCTCCTTGCTGAATATAATTGGTTATGTGTAGTTAAAGTTTTTAAAGGCTTTGGAGACTAGGAGTCCATCAAAAATTGGCAGTCAAATTTCAGTTCTGGGGCAGTTGGGTTTCTTTGGGTTTTGTTTGGCTTTCATCAAGCATGGGCACTGGGGACAGTTGCTGCAATTTCCTGCCTGTAGTTTCTGACTGACGTTTCATTTTTGTCAGGTATGAAAAGCTTTTTGGGCGCTTGTCTGACTATAACCTGTGTGTCACTGATGCCATGAAAAAAGATCTCTGGGTGAATTTCAAGATAAAGTAAGTCATGTGCCTCAGACAATTTAGTAGTGTGTGCTAAGTAAGTGAAGGAACAGATCCCTGAGGATTCAGGATTCAGAGGGATCTTACAAAAGCAGCTCCCCTGAGCTCACCTGTCACCACAGAAACACATCAGCTCAGTTTTGTGATGGGCCAGTGCAGTGTGGGCATTCAGGCACATTCAGGCATTCATTATCCTTCGGAACTATCACTGCATTGACAGAGGTGGCAGACCAGGAGCCATGGAAGTTTGCTGCAGCTTGCCTGTGGAGTCAGAGTGGGACAGATATCACTGGGATTTTAATGATTACTCTTGGCCTGCCAGTTTGTCTTGAGGGCTTTAAGATCAGAGCTGCTCAGAGGCAGTTATGGAGTAAGTTTGAAAATCAGGACAGTGATGTCTGCAGTTTTTACAGATGCATTTCACCCCTAGAATAAGCGCACAAGAAAGGGGTTCTTTGTAACTTGTGTCCACCTTGGTGTGTTCCAGCAAACTTCAGGAATACAGGACGTTGTAAGAGTAAAAAAATTAATTACTTTGTTGTGTTGATTTAGTTTATTTCTTTCTGATTACATTGTTGCAGCCTGTCACTGTACCACGTGCATGTTGTTACATCTGTATCTTATTTAAGCTGCACATTTATTTCCTCCCAGGGCTGTAACATTGTATGACAAACCAGCATCTTATTTTAAGGAAACACCATTAGACCTCCAACACAACCTGTACATGAAACTTGCCAAGGACTATGAGCCTTTCAAACCACGGTATGTGCAAGTCCTTAACCCAGGGACATGGAGTTGTGGCACTTAAATTACCAGAAATACTTTTGTGGGGTATTCTGACTCACAGCAGGCACAGGGGGCACTGAGTCGCCTTATTTGTCACTAGGAGAGGCCAGAAGAAGTGTAATGATGGAGCTGTGGTAACACAAGTAGTAGAAGTGTTTTGTTTTTAAAGAAGTTGCCATAAGCACCGAGGCAATCTCTGAAGATTGTGCAGGGTGGAACTCTGCAGTTGTCTGCATCCCACTGACGCACACTGCAATGTTTGGATGCTTCCTTAATAGCATCCCTTCCTTAATTACTGTGGAGAGCCTTCAGGATCTTGGTCCAAGTGTTAAACACTCCCCTCTGGACTTCAGGATGTCACCTGTAGCAGATGTACCAGGGAGTTAACTTCACCAAACTAAGGCTTGAAAAAGAAGTGAAATCCACAGTGCATGGTGGGGTTTTTTGGAAATGCCCAGCTCAGAATGTGTAGGTTTTGAGTTTAGTTGAATAAATGTGCTGTTGGCCTCTGTGCTGTACTAAGTGTGAGACAGGCTGTGGAAAGGGAGGCTGATTCTGCTCAACTTGTGAAGGAAAACATTTGGTGGAAAGTGGAATTGTGCCTATAGCAGCAGGAAAGAGGGAAAAATGGCCTGCCCTGTCCTGGTATTTCTGTAATGCAATGATTCCGTTCCTAGACGAGTTGAGCAGCAAATCTGAAGCCAAATGTGTGGAATTTTGTGCCAGTTAAGCAGAGTGTTCCCTGCTGTTGCTGGCTGTGTGTGTAGCTCATCCTCAGGAAGTTGTGTTTCCATAGTACAGAGCTCAGTGCCGACAGATCGGCCTTCACGGAGAGGGATGGGAAAAGTGGGAATGTGCTGAAGACCAAGGGCCGGCCAGCCCTTCTCATCAGCAGCACCAGCTGGACAGGTTGGGAAGCAGTTTTATTTTTCATACAAAATAGGGCTGTTTGTACTTTCTCACAGTTGAAATTATGTTTGTCCTTTGTTTTCCTGGAAGGATTTGAAGACAAGATGTGCATGATGCAACTAAATGTTGTGTAACTTACATAATGCTACAAATGAATGGTTTTTTAGAAGTTGTATTTTAATTATAAAGCTCATCTTTAAGAATGATTAAAAGAGGTTTCCTACTTGCTTTTTTTAGCTTTCATTCTAGACATACTGTCTTGCAGGGTGATGTAAAACAGATTAAGAAACTCAAATATTTATTCCTTACTGAGCACCCTGCGCCCTGAAGTGTCTCTGCCTGTGGCAAGGGACTGGGATGAGATGAGCCTTAAGGTCAAATCAACCCAAAGCAATTTGTGATTCCATGATTTCTGATGATGCTTATCACATAATTATGTATATTTTTTTCCCTCTGTATGAGGAAGGGAACATAGACTGGAAATAAATCCATCACCAGTGACCATGGGCAGGATTGTCTTTATCTTTGAGTAATCAGGGCAGTTTTTAGACTTAATTCACAGTTTTAGAAACTAGAAAATTTTAACTTGATAGCTTTGAAGTTGTACAATATTTGTCTGTCATATTGTCAACAAGGGAAATAAATAAACACTGTGCATGGTTATGGACTTTTATTTATGAAAATAAACTGGGAGATTTTTAATAGCACAATCTAGTAAACAGTAACCTTTAAGTACAGACTATGCACTTAACCTTTGAGTGCCTGGTCTGTATTTAAATTGTGTAGGTGAAGGTGAGGAAAATCTCAATTGTTATTTAAAGATAAAAATTAAAAATGGTAGAAATATGAATGTCACTAATAAAAGTCTTCTCTTTCAGAGGATGAAGACTTCTCAGTCCTTTTAAGAGCTTTGGAAGGTTGGTATGAAGGAATTGATCTCACTTTTTCAAAGAGGTCTTTGGACACTTAAAAATAGTTTTGCTAAAGAGCAGTGCTTCTATATTCAGGTGAAAAAGCAGTTGTATTTGATTAATTAGCACTAATTTCAGATTAGTAATTAAAATACAGCAGTGCAACATCTCAATTAAATTAGAGGAGTTGTCAGGGGAAATTAAATATCTAACTGGCTGCTAAACTGCAGTTTTATTTTCTGAGCTATTACACCTACTCTCCACAGGTATCTGCTAATGGGAAGAGAGGGAATACATTGTCTTATACTGTAGACTTTGTAGGTGCAATTCCAAATTGATCTATTGAAGCGATGGATTGGGGAGCAGTTGAAGAAATGCTTTGTGCATAAACAGCCTGATTTATTTCTGTAGAAGTCTGTAAATGTTAACACTGCTGAATTTACTGCTGTGTTACTAATACATGCTTGTAAGGAAATTGCTTGTAGTGGGAAGCTCAATAATTAATGCACTGTCACCACTCTTCAAACAAGCACCCTGAGATTTCTGAGCTCTGATCAGTGTTTTATCTTCTCCAGATTATGAGAGGTTTATCGAGGAGGGAGCCAAGCTTCCAGCTTTAGTGTGTGTCATAACAGGTAAGAATGTTTGTGTTACAATTCTTTCAGTGCTAACAGAAGGTTCAGTTGTCACTTTTGTTCTGTGCTGACTCTTCTGTTGCTGGTGGGAGAGAGAAGGGATTGCTGTCTTTGTGTCTGGTTATAAGGACAGTGATTTATAGCTGAGTTATTGCACCATCCACCAGTTATGGCACATCTTTAAAGAGCCTCCCTGTCTGCTCCAGCTTTGCAGAAAAAACAATCTAAGGTCAATGTTGAGATGATGCTGCAAAAGCAATGTCAGAGGAAGGAGCCTCAAGCTGTGCCAGGGGAGGTTTAGACTGGCTACTGGAAGAATTCCTTAATGGAAAGGGTGGTCTCCATGATTCTACATTGATGGAAAACTCATTGAAATACTGAGGAAGAGAAGTCCAGGTGCATATTGCTTTCAAGGGAACTTAGATTTTCCATGTTTTTTTAGGGTACCTGTCTTTTTAGGGTACCACAAGTGTTGTGTCCTGATCATGCACCTGATCCAACAGGAGCTTGTATTTCACAGACCACAGTGTTTTCACTCATCTTGATAAAATATTTTTTTCTGTTTTAAACAGGTAAAGGACCTCTAAAAGATTACTACAATGGACTGATCCAAAAACTGCACTTTAAGCATATCCAGATCTGTACACCATGGCTGGAAGCTGAGGATTACCCTCTTCTGCTTGGTAAATAGTGGATGATGGAAGAGGCTTGAGGATGTGTGGGAAACAGCTTGGCACAGTTACAGGGGGCTGATGCAGACTGCACAGAAGCTGGGAGAATATGGTCAGGAATATTGCTGGTTAGTGACAGGATATTCATGGATTTGACTCATTACAGAAAAACTGTTTAATTCCTCTGGCTGGCTTTTCCCTGTTTTCCTAAGAAGGAGCTGTGTTGTTTTTTCAGCCTGCTCTTTGCACTCTCTGTTTTTTCCAGCTGTGCTGAAATACAGGTACCTATGCAGGTTCTACTTTAATTTCAGGGTCACTCCAGCAAATGAAATGAGAAAGTTGTTGGCTGAGCAACCAAAAGTAGCTGAAATTCTAAATTAACATGTCATTGGAATGTTATTCCCACAGCATCTTCATTGCAACAGCATAAAGTGGGAGTAATAGAGTTATAAAATACATATTGAATGTGATTTTCATTCTGCAGGGTTAGAGCCTGACAATTTATGTGGCTGTAAAACAATATTTATTTGGTCCTTTTCAAATAATGAACATAATGTCTGTAAAACCACACTGTAATTCCTCTGTTTGAGCTGACTTCAACTGGGAGAGGTCACTAGTGAGCCATGCAGTGTAACCTGATTGGATTGTGATGGGATTTTCCTTTACTCTCCCATTCTTAGCAGACTAAGAGGCAGAAAAGCTGTTTTAAGATACATAAAACTTCAAAATCTCCTTTAACATTCACTCATTTATTACTTTTCTATAACATAACCATTTTAAGTCCCAAAACACCCCGTGCTTTATTTTTTTCCCTGATTGCTTGAAATGGTGTCTGGGTAGTTGAAAGTTTCACTTACACCATCCAAAGCAGCACAGAAGTAAAGGATTGCAGGAGGAGCTGCTTTCAGAGTGTTGAGACTGTGCTGTGTTGGTTTTCCAGGCTCAGCAGACCTGGGGGTGTGTCTCCATAAATCCTCCAGTGGTTTGGATTTGCCCATGAAGGTGGTGGATATGTTTGGCTGCTGTTTACCTGTGTGTGCAATTCATTTTGAATGGTAAGAGGTTATTCTGTTACAGCTCAAAGGTATCACATAAAACAAGATTCTTACAAAGTCAGAGTTCAGCAGCTACTGCAGGAATTCAGTGAGATTCATGTATTTTGTGATTTTAAAATTCAGTAAGATAGAAATCAAGGTTGTTTTCAGTTTAAAAGTTAATACTTATTTCTACAAAATCAGGAGCATTTAATGCAAGCACTTGCCTTAAAATATCCCTGTATTCCATTATTTCCATATATTTAATTTTAAAAAAAGCTTTCTTCTGCATAGACACATCTGTTCAGTGAAAGGCTGAGTGTGTGCATGGGCATTCTTGGAATTTATGGTCCTTTGGGAAAACAGTAGCTTTGTAAAAGAGATAAATTCTCTGTGAAGATTTCATGATGGATCATGGACAGATTTTCCTTGTGGAAAAAAAAATCTAGCTTTAAAGTAGATCATTGCCCTGGTTTTTAATGGATGTCCAGATGAGTGGCCCAAAGACAGAATAAGGGTCCTTTGGTACAGTTGTGGTTGATTTAGTCTGACACAGACAGGAGAAGAAGTCTTTAACTGTTTAAAACTGCCTGTTTAATTCCATTATGTCAGGCTTGTGCCATCTGGGGCCATAATGGTACAGATATCCTGCTTTGGTCCCTTTGGATGTCATTGTGCAATATTGAAAATGTCCCACTCGCTGCTTTTTGCCACAGCTTTCCTTCTGTGACTTTTTTTCACAGTTTACACGAACTGGTGAAACACAATGAGAACGGTTTGATATTCAGGGACTCGAAGGAACTCGCAGAACAACTGAAGGTAAAGGCTCTGCCTGATTTCTTTCCCCCTAGAAATAACCCCAGGGGTGCCACTGTGTGAGCAGCAGTTCTGAGCATCACCCATGTGTTTTGCATTCTCACAAGGTACTGCCTGGCCTGGTGGGCATTGTTTGCCTCACATTTAAATGTGAACCTTTCAAATATTGGCCTTGTTCTCCCTTTGTGAGGCCAGAGCCCAGAACTGCAGCTGTAGTTGAGGGTTAGTATTGCAGAGGCTGGAATGAGCCTGAAATGGAACATGATAATTATTTGCCTGTGGTTTTGCTTTTTAAATTACAGATGCTTTTCTTGGATTTCCCTAGCCTGGAAGGGAAACTCCACAGCTTCCGAGAGAACTTGCGAGCGTCCCGGCAACTGCGCTGGGACCAGAGCTGGGACCAGACTGTGCTTCCCTTGCTGGGGAACAAGGAATGACTGGGGGGAGGGAGGGTGTCAGACACATTCCTGCAGCTGCAGAGATTTGGGAAACAGTGAATAAACACTTTGTATTGTCTGCACTTACAGTTTCTAACTCCTTCATCTTGGAACAGGGCTCACACTCTTCCTTTACGGTTTCCTGGGGAGTGAGAGGTGCTGAAGGTGCTGAGGCTGTTTGTTGTGTGACCTGTGCTGCTTGAAGGTCCCTTTTTGGTGAAGATCCTTGAATACAGATAGAAGCTATTTGCAGCTTTACCTCCTGTACAGTCAGCACTTTAGTAGGTGATTTGGGTACGGGTTTTTTTTGACATATGGCAGCTGCTTTTCATTTGAGTTGTTTCACTTCAGCCGGTCAATTCCATGGCCAGTTAATTGCCCAAGCACTGAATATCATCCTGTGTGGTTTTATTGGCAAACAACCATTTTGTTTTCCAGTTGTTTTTCCTTTTCACAGTGTGTGCAAGAGTGTGGATACACAGCACTGTTGTGTGACAACTTTACTGGGCACTTGGAGCAAGCAGAGCTTGCAGTGAGTGTTCTCCTTGTACTCTGAAATTAATGTGCCAATTTACCTTGGGAAAACCATAAAATTCATCTCTTCTTGAACAGATGAACAGAAAAGGGAAAAAAATAAACCCAAAATATATGAACCAAGTATGTAGAACTTATTTACTTTGTGAGTGCTTACTCAGGCACAGCCTTCAGCTTTTTATTAAGCTCAGTATTCACATGCGAGCCTAATGCTTACAAGATTTTTTTCATCACCTTCTTGATGATAAAATAGACGTCAGTCATTGGTAAATGTGCTTGGTTTGGACTGTGTTTACTGCTCCTGACAGCTCCTGAGGGCACCTCAGGGTGGGAGGTGAGGACAGTGGGTTCTGCACCAGAAATTTTAAACTGAGCAACTATTGACTATCTGCTTTTGTCGAAAGAGAAAAGGTGAAAAAAGAGTCAAGGTGCTTTACTGCAGGAATTTGGCAAAACCTCGAGCTTATTGATTGAAGAATGATCCATAAAGACTGATTTGCCAATTTTTTAGTGGGTTTTGTTCCTGTTTTCAGTCAAAATCCTGTCTAGGGGTTTGGCCAGTCCTGTGCACATGGAGGTAAATCAGGCACTTCTCTAATTAAACAGTAATGCCAAAAGCTTTAGAGAGGTTTCCTCTTCCTACAATAGATCTTTTTAGATCCAAAATGAGCTCTGTATAGAAAGTTTGACTTGAATTTTGTGTAAGGGGAGGTAAGGGCTGCCAGTTTGTGTTTACTCTGGAAATAACACCTTTGAGTTCTTTCTTTTTAGGGACAGGGAACCAAAACCTGGGCTGGGGTTATTTCTGCTTGATCCCATCAGTCATGGCCTCCTTTAGCTTGAAGAATTAAGATTCTTCAGGTTTCAAGTTAGGTATCATCAGTTTTCTCTCCATTGCTACAGGAGGAGGAGGTTGAAGTTTTTAAGTAGTTTTTAATAGAGGAAAGTCAAAAGAGAAAAATGAGCAGCACTTTGATTTTTCTGCTTCAGGACCAATGCTGCCCGACAGGAGAAGGATTAACGGGTGATGGAAAGTTCCAGAGCAGGGGAGCTCAGTCCCTCTTTGCAGGATACCTGGAGCACTGCTGTGTGGAGTGATTCCTTTTTCATTCCCAGCCTGAGGGGACGGATTCCCAGCAGCCACTGTGGAAGTGGCAGTTCTTATGTGAGAGAAAGGAACATCTATTCTGACTTGTCATCCCTGCAGAGTAAAGATGCACCTGATTTACAGCAGTCTGTGACCTGCTCTTACAGCAGAGTCATCCTGGGACACAACTACAGGTACTGGTCACTGTTTTATTGGGGGTTTTTAAGCTAACCCAAACTGCAAGTATGTACAGACATAAAAGACCAGAGTAGACAATTACAGCTGGTTTTAGAATCAAAACCCACTGATTACTCTGAAACATTATTTTGCTCCCTTGTCTGTGTGAGCTGCTCATCCTGTGATCCTGCAGGTCGCCCCAAATATTTACAAATCACAACACAAAACACCCTCACTTGAATTCTGGTGTCTTCTACAAAATCAGAAGTGAAGTGTGACTGGGGCTTTTTGGTTTCTGCTGCTTGAGGTTCAGTCACTTCCCAGGGGCAGCAGCAAGCTCGGATCCAAGCTGGGAATTAGGGGAAGGAAGGACTCCAGTGTCCATGTGTACAGTTGTATCCTCAGAACCTTGTTTCCAGAATTCAGGATAATCTTGTTACAAGGCTGAGACAGCTCCTGTTGGTCTTAAAATTCCAGTTCTGTTTGCCAAGCCTATATAAATAGCTGTAGAATAGTTACATCTGGCTGCACATCATAGAGAAAATTACAGCTGCTGTGGGCTGGAATCATCTGCCACCTGATGCCAACTTTATCTGTGAAAAGAGTTTTTTATATTTATGCTTAATATTTATATAAATTCTATAATTTCAATAGAATATTTAATAAAGTTAATATTTTAATATATTTTCATATATTTTTAAATATTTATATAATTTTATTTATGCTTAATAAAATAGAGAGCAAAAGTTGCATGACAAGTTCTTGTGTTTAACATGCTGTCATCGACAGACAAATGCTTATCAGTGTTTTTATAAAAACCCCATTAATGCCTCTGCTGAACACTCAGTGTCACTTTGTGAATTAACCAGAATTTCACAGAATATCCTGAGTTGAAGGAACCCACAAGGATCATCAGTTCCAGTTGGTGAACACCAGCTGAACAGCAGAGAGACTGCAAAAGATCGGCTTTAGAAGTGTACGTGAAGAAAAATCCCCAAATCTCTATTTAATCTCTGCTGGGGGTTTTAACCCTCAAAGAACATAAGATAAGATAAAAGCTTTAGGCTGCATCTCAGATGTTATCACTGTGACAGTGCAGCACTGATGGCTCCCTCCTTTAGGCTTAAACCTTTTTTTACTTTCCTATTGGCACCAGACTTACAAATCACCCCTGGCAGATGTGAGCTGTGATAGCCAGGATGTACCTAAAGGTGAGCTCCAAGCTGCTGAGGACATCCAGGAGCAAAAGCTGCTGCTCTTAAATCCAGCTCTAGGATAAGCTCCTGCTTCTCTCTACCACAGAACAAGTAATGGGGAAAGAGGCAAAAATGCAAAACTATTGAACACTTCATGGAACAGGCACCCACCCAACTCAGCCTGGAACAGCTGATACGTGTCTGGATTTCGGATTGTGGAGGCAATGAACACCTCAGGAGCTTTCCTGTCTGCTCTGGAGGTGGAGAGTTTCTGCAGCATCCCAATGAGGGCCAAAATTATCTTAGGATCATACACCACATCTACCAAAAAAAAGAAAAAAAAAAAGAAACATACAATATTTATTGAGAATTGAGCAAAAACCAGAATAAAAACTGCAAAGCAGAAATACAATCTTCACAGTGCAGGAGAATATTGATATTTTATGGGCTATGCCCTCATCACTAAAAATCAGTGCTCCTTTTTGTAAATGGATTGTCAGATATTTTATTTAAGCCCATCCTAAGGGAAGCAGCAAAAACCACTGAGTGTTGGTGCTCTGTTCCCACTGCCCTTGGCAAAACAAACCTGCCTTGTTAGAAATGAGAGGTTTAGAGGCTGATGCCAAGGACTTGCAGAAGTTTTCATCTGGAGTCAGTCCCTGGAGAGCAGAAATGGTGGTGTGAGGTCAGTGAACACCAGGGGGAGTGGAATGCTGATGCTCAGAGGGGGTTGTTTCCTACACAGAGGTGCTCAGATATGTGCACCACTGCAGTAACTCGTGCTGCAGTGTGCTCAGGGCACATCCTGCTGCACTGAGGAACAGCAAATAGCAGAGAGATGTCAATGCCCCTCAGTTCTTGTCTTCTGCTGGGGCTGGTCTGGGCACTGAGCAGTGTCATTGGCATTAGGACTGTGCAGTGACTTCATTTTATAGAATTCCCATTCTATAATGCATCCTGTAATATCTTGGATGTCAAAGTAATTTTGGCATCCAAGGTATCACCCACAGGTGCACAAGGGATCAACCCTTTTTGCACCTGGAGTCTCTGTCTTTTCTTTGTAAAGCTCCAAATCAGGTGTAAGACCTACAGCTGAGACATTCTGCTCTCACTGGGGATCACCACTATTGTCCCACTGGCACTAGGTTTTCCATGACTGGATTTTTTATAAAACTCCCTCTAAATTTATACACAGACAAGTCCAAGACAAGGTCTGAGGTTGTTTTTTGTTATTCTGTTATTCCTCAAGAGGCTGAGCCCTGCCCATCCCTGTTCCCCATGAGTGGGTGCAGTACCTGCTGCAATGACAACATCAGCTCTGACACCCAGCAGTTGTTTTTCTGTCACTGAGCCCCAGTCAAGCTCAGCAACAATCACTTTCGGGTTTTGGCACTTCTCTCCTTCCACCTTCTGTCCTTGGGTCTCTGTTTGGATGCTCCAGGTCACGTCAGGCTCCAGGATGAAGCCATTTAGCCGGATGTTTTCTCCCAGCTGTCTGAGAACATGGGGGTGGCAGTCACTAAATATGAATGTCCTGGGTTGGCAGGTTTTGCAGATGGCAATTCCAGTGAAACCAATCCCACTCCCTAATTCCAGGATTGTCCTGAGGGTAAAGGAATAAAAAGTACTATCAGGACTCTGCACTGAGTTGGAAATCATAACATTCTAAATATAATTAAAGGTAAAATCAGTTCCAGATAATTACAATAATTTTTGAGTGAACCATCCACAATCTAACCTTTGTCCCAAGCAACTAGAGAGTTGGGAATAACTGAGGGTGGAACTGTCAGCACAAAATTAATTAGCTGAAATGCTGATTCCTGTAAGGCACAAACATTCCCACCACAGGGATGAGAGACATTCCCACCTGGCTTTAGCCATCTGCAGCACAGTTGTTTCCACCTGAGCTGGCTTTCCAGATTTTAGTCAGTGGTGAGAAACAGACACTGAGCAGCACAGTTCCTTCCCCTGTGAGCTTCATTATTATTAATTATCTCTCCTCAAAAGCCCTTGCTCATCTTGACTGCTTATAAATAAAGTAGAAATTATGTGATCAGAGCTGCACACTAATCATCTAATGTAGATAATCCTTGGTGAACCTCACCACGGAGTGAAGGTCGTTAGTTAAATTACTGAAAACTGAACAGCTGACCTCACAGAGCAGGTCAGACTGCACAGTGCAAGGGTTTGATCCTAAACCACGTCTTGACAGGTCCTCTCCTGGGTTAAAGTTTGGTAGAATAGACAAGAGCAGCAATTACTCAGCAGCAAAAGGGTGTAATTTCAGTTATTTTGGGTCTATAGTCTGTTATTAAATTACAGTTGTCCTCTGCTCTGGAGCCAGGCTGGGAGAGCTGGGGGTGCTCACCTGGAGAGGAGAAGGCTCCAGGGACACCTCAGAGCCCCTTCCAGGGCCTAAAGGGGCTCCAGGAGAGCTGCAGAGGGACTTTGCGTGCCAAGACACAGAGTAATGTCTTTCCACTGCCAGAGAGCAGGGAAAGATGGAATATTGGGGAGAAACTATTCCCTGGGAGGGTGGGCAGGCCCTGGCACAGGGTGCCCAGAGAGGCTGTGGCTGCCCCTGGATCCCTGGAAGTGTCCAAGGCCAGGCTGGACGGGGCTTGGAGCAG